CGCGTTCGAGACCACGCGGCGATCAACCGGCGAGCCGACGAGCCGACCTCGAGACCTCGAATCGGCTTCTGTCAAAAGAGAATCGCACGCATTCAGGTCTACCGCGGAATGGGCATAGTCTGCGACCTATAAAGACCGCCTGGCGGGCCAGCGCGCAGGTGCGCGGCTCATCCGCTCACCTGACGGCCGCACATTGCCTCTACCTGCTCGTTTTCGGGCCCCGAAACGCGACGAAGCGAGAGATCGACTGCACTGGCCGAAATAGTGATCGATTCATTTCGATTTTTTGCGATACAACAACCTATTTAACGTAATATTTTTCTAGCATAACGTACAATTTTATTACTTTTCTTGTAGAACGTACTAATTATTTAACTCATTATCCGCCAATGTCCCATTTTTTAGGACACTTTCGAATTTTTTTCTTTCATGAACTGCAACTTTTAAATAAAATACTGGCATTAAAATAGTGAGACAATATCACGTGCTCCATGAAAGTATTAAGAATTCCCGCTATTTTGTTTTATATCATTGTAAACTTCAGGTTGAGACCGATAACCTCAATTTAATTCTTTTTTTGTATGTTTGAATTGCGGCGGGTAATGGGTTAATTATCATTTATATCGATATTAGAAGAATGCGGAAATTTCTTACGAAATAAATATTGGTTCGCTTAATATTTCTAGTATTTACAAAGTTACCATTGGACTGCGGATTTTTTGCACCTATGGCAGAAATGAGTAGGCATAACTTGAAACAGTGAAAATATTCGAAGAAACTAAGAATGTTGATGTATCAGTTTGCGCTTTCTAAAACGATTAATGAAAGGAAAGAACGCGCGCCTGGCTCTCCCGTATCTTGCAATTTAGGTGGACAGTTTTTAGTTTGCCCAGATATCCGCAGTCTAGTTATCATAATCGCAACCAAAAATTAACCAATTACGAAGAAAACTTGGTATTTAGAGTAGAATAAAGCGACGATGTTTCGTAAAAATCAAAGGACTTTCGTTGGAAATGAGAGAAAGCGATGATATTTGTTCACGATTGAAGGTGAAACATTGCAGAATAATGGAAAAATAGAGAGAACGTAGTATGAACATTTTTTAACATTGGAAATTTATGTTAAACTTGTGATGTTGTCAGTGTCAATTCAGTGCCACGTACAATTTTAATTTGTTATGTATAATTTCCCGTCGATTTTGCCACGCCGATTTCAAATGCTGTCGCCAAATTTATCCACCGCTTCAAGAGTTTGAAGTAAGAACGATCCGAGCCATAAAATTAATAAAATCGCGATTTCGTAAGCCTACGTTATTTTCTTGACAACTCGGTCATTTATCGGTGCATAAGAAAGAGCAACGCTAATCAAACAACCATAGATGAGTGATATCTTAAAGTAGAAGTTTCAAGCTTTAATTTAAAGAAAAAGTCATCACGCTGCGATGATTTTTCGCGGAGTTATCGTTGGTCAAAGTTGGCCAANTTCGAGACCACGCGGCGATCAACCGGCGAGCCGACGAGCCGACCTCGAGACCTCGAATCGGCTTCTGTCAAAAGAGAATCGCACGCATTCAGGTCTACCGCGGAATGGGCATAGTCTGCGACCTATAAAGACCGCCTGGCGGGCCAGCGCGCAGGTGCGCGGCTCATCCGCTCACCTGACGGCCGCACATTGCCTCTACCTGCTCGTTTTCGGGCCCCGAAACGCGACGAAGCGAGAGATCGACTGCACTGGCCGAAATAGTGATCGATTCATTTCGATTTTTTGCGATACAACAACCTATTTAACGTAATATTTTTCTAGCATAACGTACAATTTTATTACTTTTCTTGTAGAACGTACTAATTATTTAACTCATTATCCGCCAATGTCCCATTTTTTAGGACACTTTCGAATTTTTTTCTTTCATGAACTGCAACTTTTAAATAAAATACTGGCATTAAAATAGTGAGACAATATCACGTGCTCCATGAAAGTATTAAGAATTCCCGCTATTTTGTTTTATATCATTGTAAACTTCAGGTTGAGACCGATAACCTCAATTTAATTCTTTTTTTGTATGTTTGAATTGCGGCGGGTAATGGGTTAATTATCATTTATATCGATATTAGAAGAATGCGGAAATTTCTTACGAAATAAATATTGGTTCGCTTAATATTTCTAGTATTTACAAAGTTACCATTGGACTGCGGATTTTTTGCACCTATGGCAGAAATGAGTAGGCATAACTTGAAACAGTGAAAATATTCGAAGAAACTAAGAATGTTGATGTATCAGTTTGCGCTTTCTAAAACGATTAATGAAAGGAAAGAACGCGCGCCTGGCTCTCCCGTATCTTGCAATTTAGGTGGACAGTTTTTAGTTTGCCCAGATATCCGCAGTCTAGTTATCATAATCGCAACCAAAAATTAACCAATTACGAAGAAAACTTGGTATTTAGAGTAGAATAAAGCGACGATGTTTCGTAAAAATCAAAGGACTTTCGTTGGAAATGAGAGAAAGCGATGATATTTGTTCACGATTGAAGGTGAAACATTGCAGAATAATGGAAAAATAGAGAGAACGTAGTATGAACATTTTTTAACATTGGAAATTTATGTTAAACTTGTGATGTTGTCAGTGTCAATTCAGTGCCACGTACAATTTTAATTTGTTATGTATAATTTCCCGTCGATTTTGCCACGCCGATTTCAAATGCTGTCGCCAAATTTATCCACCGCTTCAAGAGTTTGAAGTAAGAACGATCCGAGCCATAAAATTAATAAAATCGCGATTTCGTAAGCCTACGTTATTTTCTTGACAACTCGGTCATTTATCGGTGCATAAGAAAGAGCAACGCTAATCAAACAACCATAGATGAGTGATATCTTAAAGTAGAAGTTTCAAGCTTTAATTTAAAGAAAAAGTCATCACGCTGCGATGATTTTTCGCGGAGTTATCGTTGGTCAAAGTTGGCCAATTCGTATCAAAAAATTTTCTATGCTATAATTTCTTCCAGCGGTTTTTGACATATGTCGTTACATGCTACAGAAAGGGTACAATGGACAGTAAATTCTCCTTAATTTTCCTTCAGCTTGCAAACAAAAATGGACAATTCGGGAAGAGGAGATGCGATTATTCGTGCCTTGCGTCTCGTTTGTGTAATTATTGACAATCGATAAATATAAAAGCTTTAATAATCGCATCTCCTTCTCCTCAAAGTGCCAATTCTTGTACGCAATCAGAGTGCAAATTAGGAAAAAAATTACTGTATCTCGTGCGCAACCGTGTTCTAAAGACGAACTATTTCCGCCACGCCGTAGTTACAACCGTCTTCCTCAGAACGAAATGAATGAACGAAGCTTTTCTAAATCGCGCGAAGAAGCGAGAGGCGCCCGCGAGTCTCGCGGTCGAAGCCGGTCCCATTTACAATTTTAATCGGGACCGATTAGGATCGGTCGTAACGCGTGAAAAGAAAGTAGTGCGGGTTCGTTAGCTGAGACTCTCGGCTGTGGGAACAGCTCCCTCGGGGATCGAACGATCGATAAGCGGACAGCTTCCTCGCGGATGCCTAGGCGTGTTTAATTAAAACTCGTCCTAGAAGATCACCGCCGATTCACGGGACAACGATGAACGAAGCCGAAAGCGTGACAATTAAACTGGGACGGGAGTTTGTTAACGAACCGGCCGGGGATAAGCATCGGGATGGACGGCGGACGGCGAATTAGCGAAGGAAACGGTGCCGGTTTTAATTGAATTCGCCTCGTCGGACTTCGCGAATGCGTGCTCTCTGTATCTATAATATTTTTATATTATTTCTATTTTATTTATTTATTTATTTATTTATTTATTTATTTATTTACGGACTACTAGTTCCTTTTAAACCCTCTGGAAACGAGTGGCTTTCGATGCTCGCGCGAGCAGAAGGCAGAGTCATTTCGAGTCATAATAAAGAGTTCATTGCGAACTATCAACGGGAAGGAATTTCATATGAAAACGCAATTTGTAGTGCGCATACTTTAGCATTTCGAAGAGCATATTTTTCATTACTTTTCATTCTTTTCATTCTCTGTGTGCATCTAATACGCGAAATAAATGCATGTTTCTTGTGCTTCGTGCAAATAAATCGATCACGCTTCATTGATACACTGCCGCATACTAAATCATCCAACAAATAAAATGCACACGACTCAGAATAAAATGAACATCACAGAGAACAAGACTTCGCGACAGTGACACCAGTAAAATCGCAGGATGTTTCCAAAGAAGTCGAGTTCCTTGTCGAGCTCGTCGCTCTCGCGAACCCAAAACGAGGTTCCAATATCGTCTCAACGACAGACGACGAACATCCGCGGGAAATCCCGACCGCGCTAGCGAATCCACGCTGGAAGTATCGAGCTGTAACACCGATTAGCGAGGCTTCGCAAAAGTAACAAGGCCAGGATTGCTGCGCCCGACCGAGGAGCGTCCAAACGAAAGTAACCGAGCGTCCTCCGGAGAAAATCGCCGTGAAATATCCGCGCAGCGTCTCGCCGGCTGCGATCTTGTAGCGATGACGCCGATGAAAAGCCTCTCGCGATGGTCGAGCGAGGCGGTTTTCCCGGCGTCGATTAACGAGGAGCGGCCCGGAGATAGCGGGGACGGGACGCCCGGTTGCATCACCCGAGCGGCAACGAGAAAAAATCGCGAGAGCCATTAGCGTTCCTCCATAAAATCAGCCTAAGAATGCCCATTTCCCTCGGCACAATTCCAGACACCCCATCGAGCGAAGGGATCCCGAAGCAGGTACGGCGACACGTCGGGCCTGGGAGTGCCGAGGCGTCGAAAGCCGGAGCGAGAGAGGGCATCGGAGGCTCGGGGACCGAGAGAGAGGTCGTCGGAGGCTCGGAGACCGAGCCAGAGAGAGGCAGAGGAGACAACGGAGTCTCGGAGACCGAGTGGCCGCGAGAAGGAGAGAGAAAGAGAGCTCGGGACGGAGAGGGGCCCGAGGGAACGGTGGTGGGGCTAGGGCTCCGGAGTCTCACGCGTTGCTCGGGCCCGCAGTCCTGAGAGGAGCGTAGAGGCGGTCGCAGCTCGGTGTCCCGCTGGCAGTGGTGCGCGTTCGGTGGCCTAAGCAAAGGGTCCAGTCAGCGGTAGCAGCGTGTCTTTGGCCGAGAAGGACTCCGAGGACCGAGGAGCCGAGACGACGTGCGACAGGAGAGTCGGCGCTCGAAGGAGGTGAAACAGCGCCATCTGCGCGCTCCGTGCGTCCGTGGATCGAGAAATAGGACCGTCGAGGTGCCGAGGGACTCGCGGGGATCAAGTGGCCGCGATCGCGATCTCGTCTCGCAGTGTCTGAGAGGAGCCGATGAGGCTCGCGAGAACATCGGAGACGACGGCTCGCGTGGCTGACGCCTGCGGCCGCGCCTCTGGATTCCAGCAGCGCCGACACGCCGCTCGGCGGGCCCCTTGAATTCCGTTTCTCCGAGCCCGAGTCCTCGCGAGACCTCTCGGGCGTGTTCGTGTGCGGGTTCGGAGTGTGCCGGGTGTGTACCTGTCGGTCCCGTGGTGCACGTGGAGGTGAGGGGCGACCGGGCGGACGACGACGCCACTGCGCGCACCGCATACCTCAGGAGGAGACCTGGGCCTGTCGGCGGCCGGAGTGGGGGAAGCGGGCCCCGGAGAACGTCGCCCGAGAAAGAGCGAGAAAGAGCGAGGCTAGGGAGGGTAGAGGGAGACGACCGGAGGAAAGAACCCGACCCGCGAGCGCCTAGCGAGCCAGCGAACGGAGAGGGGAGCGCGGGGCAGAGAGGCGACTCGGCTCCGAGGAGGAGGGGTAAGGCCCGTCAGAAGGCGGCCATAATGGCCTGACGCCGATCTCGGGCGAGTGGCGGCTACAGCTGCTGCGAAATAGAGCCGAGAGCGGCTCTCCTCGACGTCCACGCACGCGTATTTTGCAACGTCCGACTGGAAAGTGACTGCGTAATCGCGAGTGAAGTGAATTCACCGGGTCTCTGGCTGGCCTGTCGCCTGTCGCGTCCGCCTCGTGCGCGCTTCCCTTCGTCTGCTTCGTGTTCGATGCGTCTGGTGTTGTCCCGCCGGCTGATTCGAGCTGTTTCCGGATCGCGTTCCGTCGAGCCTTCGTCGTCGCCCGGGAGCCTGTGCCCCGTCGCACATCGGGTCTGAATCCGCCGGGAAGATGAGGGGCGCCAATCAGGACACGGCGACGCCGTACTGTCGCTGCAGGGTCCTCTACCTGGGCAGCTCGGTGCCGCACGCGAGCAAAGAGGGCCTCCTGGGTGTCCAGGAACCGTTGAGGGAGCTGTACCCCGAGCAGGGCGCCCTGGGTGCCCGCGGCATCGACTCCTGGCTCAGCGTCTGGAGCAACGGCCTGCTGCTGGAGAACGTGGACGAGCATCGCAAGAAGGTGACCAGATTCTTCCCGATCGAGGCGCTCCACTATTGCGCCGCGGTCAGGCACGTGAAAGGCGGAAGCGGGGACTCGTCGAACACGAGGTTCCTGCCCCTGGACTCCCCGTTCGCCAGGACCCCGAGCGCGAACCATCCGCCTCTGTTCGCCGCCGTGCTGCGACGCACCACCGGCATCAAGGTGCTCGAGTGTCACGCGTTCATCTGCAAGAGAGACATGGCGGCCAACGCCCTGGTCAGGTGTTGCTTCCACGCGTACGCCGACAGCAGCTACGCGAAGGGCCTCGACCCGTCCGCGGCCACCACCAACGGCGTCACGAACAGCCATCCGTCGAACAACAGCCTCTACCACACCTTGGGAGGCTCCAGCACCACCCTGGACAGCCCTCAGGCGAACCGTCTGGACACGACCTCGACGGACGACCTGAGCCTCTACAACGGCGACGAGAACCACAAGGTCTGGGCCCGGGGCCGCGACGAAGTGGACGGTCTCTACCAGGAGCAGGGCACCCTGAGGAGCACCAAGGGCTCCAGGCCGCGTCAGCTGATCGCGCCGCCCCCTCCGCCGCCGCCACCGCCGCCGCCTTCGCAGCCGTTGCTTCTGGAGGAGTCGTCGTCCTCCTCGGTTCGCAGGAAAGCGAACAAGAAGCTGAAGAAGCTCAAGAACAGGAGCTCCCACGAGGACCCGCTGCAGCAGCCGCACCTTCACCCGCAGTTCCAGCAGGGGATCTACACGAACGGCCATGGACACCACACCCTGGGGCACCCGGTCAGGCAGCAGCACTATCACCCTCATCCCCTGCCTCCTAGCAGCAGATCCGTCGCAGGAACTCTGGCCAGACCGGCGCCCGTTCTGCTGGTGCCCGCCGCCACGCTGCCCAGGAAGGCTCACCATCACCCGAGAGGACTCAGGCCGATCCCAGCGGCTGCTCCCATAGTCCCCGTGTACGCCCCGCTGCCGGTGGTGCCTCCGCCCCCGCCGGCAGCCGCCATGTACCCCGCTGGCACCTACGGGACTGCCGGGAACAGGAGCAGAAGGCAGCATCCCGACGCCGACACCTCGACTCTAGGTGCCTCCAGGAGGCTGGCCGCTTCTCACGCCGACTTGACCACCGCGGAGATGAACCGCGCTGCCGGCGACAGTCCCGAGAACGAGTCCCGTTTCGGCACCGGGATCTACCGGCGGAAGGGCCACCTGAACGAGCGGGCGTTCTCGTACAGCATCCGCGCGGAGCACCGCAGCCGTAGCCACGGCAGCCTGGCCTCGCTGGGATTCAGCGGCCAGAACGGCAACGCTCTGCCCAAAGAGGAGAAGAAGGACAGAGAGATCGCGCAGCTGGTAGCCGGCCTCAGCCTCGACGACAGCCCGGAGAGAACGATGCCCGCGGCCAACTCCAGGACCGGGTACTCTCATCATCAGCAGCCGCTGCCCAGGCCACGGCCTCGTTAACGCCAGCATCGGGACGAGCGAACTGGGTGTCTCGGATCTTCTCGACCCGCCGAATCCATCCAGGTGGATCGCAGTGAACCGTCGTCGTCGTCGTCATCGTCGTCGTTGTCGTTGTCGTCGTCGCCGGTTGTTCATACTCTGTTCCGGTTGTCTCCCGATCGACGGAGTCCCTCGGTTTCGCGGAACGATTGACAGTGCGGACAGGGTTCCGACGATTGTCCAGCTTGCGGTGACTAGGAGACAAGGACTCGGGATCGATGTACATGTAGATAAACTGGGTGAACAGGAGGTGCTCCCGGAGCGAGTCCGGGGCCCCGTTGGTTCGCGGTGTCCGCGTGGAAAATCGCGTTGGGTGGCCTGGCCGCGTCCGCGACTGGTTCCCCGGTGGCTTTCGATTCCCAGAACCAGCCGAGTAGGAAAATCACTCGGGCAACAACCCGATATGGCACCCGGTCTCATCCTCGCCGCCGGTTTCTAGCCGTGACCCCGTTACCGCGGACGCTAGCCCGAGCGAATTCGAGGCCTGCAGGCGAGTTCAGCCCCTCGCGTCCACGCCGGAATGGGATTCCGAAGATTCTACACTGTCCAGCCGTGTAACAAACATGTTGAAACCGCTGGCAGGCATCGGCGCGAGAGCTGAGCCGAGGCGGTAACGAGGATCTATGGACCCTATTCACACCGGAGTCTTATTTATGAGAGCGTCTCGAGCATGGTATCAAGACGCCGTGTAAACCTCGCGGTCGGTTCTTCGGGCTTTTCTTGAGAACAATCTCATGGTCTGCTTTCGTTCGGCGGATCTTATCTGTGTTTGATCGATGAGCCGCGCGGATTCTTATGCGAAGGGAAAACTGTTGTTTTGTATTAATCACAAGATGTAGGAGCCACGTATCTCTTCGCTTAATCGTTTTCGTAGATCGATGGCCGAGCGATGGTATTTTCTGAACTCTTTTTGTCACAGTTTTTCTTCTCGTTTTCCTATTTTTGTCGTGAAAATCGTAAAATCCGCGGTTCTGCGATTAAACTAGGTCGCGGCTTGAGACCATGCCCTCGAGGCTCTCCGATTATAAACGATTGATTTCGAAATAATCGATTATAAACGATGAAATTCTGAAGAAGACTCCGCGAATGCGGCTCCAAAGTTTCGAGTGGTTCCGAGGAGCTTCGCAGATTCGGGGATAATTGTTTCGCTGAACGTCGTTCAGTGGCCGGGAATATTTCCAGAGAAAGTGTTCGGTTGTTCGACTTGAAAGCTCCGCTGGTCCAGTCAGCCTCACGAATTCAGCATTCATTACCGACCGCGGTCGGGAAGAATCGCGGAAACGAAAGCCGTCTTCCTGTTCTGGACGGCAGTCGGCTAATTAGACTCGGATTATTGTCGCCCGGCCGCGGCCAAGGAGATCGTTCTAATGACCGGGGAGCTCGTTAGGAGACCCGAGCCACGACGAGAAAACGTGTCGCCGGGTTTTCCAGCCGTTTCGCTTCATATGGAGACGAACCTCGAACCTGTTGGATCCGTCGATCCCCTTCGATCGTGAACGTTCACCGAGTGGCCGCGATCCGCCAACACGATTCCGCGCTCATAAAAATATTGCCAGCCGGAGGAATTATCGGTCGAACGGATCTCGGCGCATGGGAATTCGCAGGAAAGAACGCCTAATGGCTTTTATTCTTATCGCGGCGGGCCTTCTAGTCGGGAGGAAACGTTTGCGCGAACACCCGCCAATTACCGTTAACCAGTTAACGCGAAATGTTGCCATTTCTTCTTGGCGAAGCGTACTCGTCAAGAACAGCTAACGTCGACGAGGAGGATATACATCCTTTGATATTCTTTATTCAATTGTATATTTTCGGGAACTGATGTTTTCGAGCAAAATGTCAAGGAGATCAATTCGCAGCATAATTAGAGACACTTGTATACTTTTCGGAGAGATTGCAACAGTTGATTGATTAATTGATTCGATCTTCTTCAGTTAAATATATTCTTTATTCATTCATCTCTGCAATTTTTCTACTTGGGGAAAATATTGCTCGATCCCCCGTATAATAATTGAAAAAGCGAAATTGCTTGACTAATTTCATAAAATCGGTGTAATCGCTCGATTTTTCTCTATTTCTATATTTATTATATTTATTAGAGAAGCGTTGCGATGCTAACTGGTTGAGAGGCGTTTTTTTGTTCAATTATGTATTTTCTAAAATTGTTGTATTTAAACGGAGTATGAATCACAGTATAATCACAGTGTAATCACAGGATAATTACAGTATAATTACAGTAAACTTGGACACTTTTGCAACAGCTAGCTGGTTAAGGGCGGAGTGAACCCTTGAAAAAAAGGATGATTATCGACAATGTTTTTGCAACGTAAAACATTGGCGAAACTTTTCGTCGCCTTCCATACATATTCTCTCATATCTCGAGATAATTCTTGTAATTTTAAACTCGTTCGTAATTCGACACGCATTTTTTACTCGTCACAGATTATCGACGTTTACTGCAATAATAATGATCGTTCTCCACGAACGACGGCGTCGTTCCGCGTGTAAATCCTGTTCCGAAGGAAGCAAAAAGAGGAGCGATTTTTATTCGAGTAAAAATTTTTACGCGATTGTCGTTATTTTTGAGTTTTTGCATTGTTCACGGAGAACCGGATTATTTACTGTTTCAGTTCGGATAAAAAGTGACGACAAGAGTATATTTACGTATCTTGAAAGCTCGAGGAATACGTATGGAAGTGTTTCACGTTCGAAAACAATCGAAACCGTCCGCAGTTTAACGGTTCACTCGGACAAGTTAGCGCTCGCGAGAAACAGTCGCGCGGAATCCACGAAACGGAAATTGTGTCGCTTCCACTGGCTCCGACGGCTAATTAATTTTAGAGAGCAACGATGTTTCCTGCCGCGGCTAAGATGGCGGCGATTTAAATTCCTACCGAGAGAGCCTTCCATCCCGTGAGAACGCCGGCATTAATCTTAATTGCGTGGGAAGGAAAAAATTACGCGACACGGGGAAGACCGGCGCGGGATTAAAGCACAGATTGTCCCGTGGGCCACTGGCCCCGTCGAAAGCGAGAGCAACGGATCGTCGTTTCTCAACCGTCTTCGACGACAGGGTTGCAAAGATCCGTTCGATTTTCCAAAGAGTGCTCGAATTTCATTGGCAACGAGCTCGGTAAAAATGTTTGAAAAAGTATTGGAAATAGCTGACGAAATGCTCTCGTTCGTGTGAAACCATGTTTCAAGATTTATTTGACGTCGTAGAGATTAGTATTGAAAATAGTTATTTGCGCTGTGGTAAAGAAAATTATTAATTCAAATAGTGTTTTGTTGAGAAGTACTGGATGTGATTATTTGATTTAGGATCTTCTTAGGATGTAGTGGAAATAATTATTTGAACCAGTATTTTCTTAGGGTGTACTGTAAATGATTATTTAAATCAGTATTTTCGTAGGATATACCATAAATAATTATTTAAAATCGTATTTTCTTAAGATGAACTGAAAATAATTTTTTTAAATAGTATTTTCTTAAAACGTACTGCAAATCATTATTTCAAATAATATTTTCTTAGGATGTGCTGCAACTAACCTTTTAAAATAGCATTTCGTGTGTCCAAATTTCCATGAATTATTTGAAATTCCATTTCTTGCAATTAATATCAACGAGAGAAAATAAAATAACAAAATAAACCTGCAGAAAAGGAGAAAACACATTTTGTTCGATAAAATAAGCTTTTTCTTATATTTTTCGACACTAATGAACGTAATTGGAACGTTTAACGTCCGATTAACGGACCAGAGACTAATTGACAGAGAAGCAACTTTAACGTTTCTAGCGAATGTTTAAACAAAAGCTAAAGCTCGGTGAACGTCCACAAAATCGAGACCTCTGTGAAACCTGTCGGCGAATAATTAAAACTTCTCAGGACCGGCTCCGGGCAGCCATGTTTCTTTCCTTTCGAAATCGATCGCGGACTCGTTCTCTCATGCATCGGCGACTACTCATTGCCATCGTCGTGTATGCATACGCAATTAGGCTTGATTATCATCGATTCGTGGTCGATGTCAACCGGTCGCACGCGCCTCGTTTCGCAACTCCGGACAGATTTCCTCGCCGATGACTTAGCTCGTAATTTCGACAAATAAAAAAACGATCTTTCAACCTCAACGAGTTCTCGTTCAAGTTATTTGAACGGCTCGGAAGCCAATCAGTACTAAGTTCATTAATTTTGTAGTCCGGATAAGTAAAGATTTTGCAGATTAACTGTAAAGAAATATCAACGCCACTTACAACGCGAAGCACAATTTTTATTACAATTAAGTAAAAAGAGAATCGTTGATATCAATACTTAATTATTTCATTCAATTTCTTGTACGTTCTCATTTTCTTTTTATAAATATTTTTATTTCGTTTAGTCGTCCCGTAGTGAATATAGACGCGGCTGTCTATTGTTTATTCATGAAGAAATCGACAGAGGAGATGTGTTTGCGCTGCGTAACTAATTTTCAAAGAAACGCGAATTTACGGCGATTGGCTTCCGAACCGTCCATTTATCTCTCCCGTTCGGGAACTTTTCAGCATTTCGATCTCTCCATAAAGTTGACTGTTCATGAATTATTCAACGAGCACCGTATCGACACCAAATCACGCTGAAACGTGAACGTTCACAATTTTTCCTTCGGGTTTTCGTTCAACGAGACGACATTTACTCCGTTCGTTTCGCAGAGAACCCCGAGTCCCGAACTCACTGACACTTCGAGCCTCGCAATAAACTTCGCCGCAACAGCCTCCGCGCAACAACGGCATTCCATTCGGCAGCCTCGTTACCTCCGAGTACCCGGTTAATTGAGATCACTGCAATTTCCTTCGCGGAGGCCGCAAAAAACCGCGACGCATGGAAATCGCGTTATTCATGTTCCATCGGTCGGCAGCGTGCAGTGTCGCTTCTGTTTCGTAACCGAGAGAGAGAGAGAGAGAGAGAGAAAGAGAGAGAGATCGAGAGAAAAAAGTAATCGCGAGGCGATATTGGTTTCAAGGTGTCCCGGGAGCAGTGGACCGAATTACTGTTGAATACGTAATCGGTTGGAAACCGAGTCCCGCATGCCTCTGCGAAATGTCTTCGTTCCTTTGCTTTAACTCCGTTTGCAAAACACGACGGGATTCTATCGTTTTATCCGCGCTGATCTATTTCTCCATTTTCGGTGAACAATCGCGAACGAACACTCCGAAGCGGGCGTCGCGACTGTTAAGAAGACGTTTCCGGTCGGTAGTATATCCATTTTAACCCCTTTAGTTCCAAAGGCGTCCATTATAATTCCATTATAATTCCAAAGTGATTTCAAAACAATTTCAAAATAATTCCGTCATAATTCGAATATAATTCGGATACAATTCGAATGTAATTCGAAGGTTATTCGGATACAATTCGAATGTAATTAGAGTACAATTCGAATATAATTCGAATACAATTCCAATATACTTCGGATACAATTCGAATGTAATTCGGATACAATTCGAATACGATTTGAATTCAATTCGAATGTAATTCGGATACAATTCGAATGCAATTCGAATATATGTCAAATACAATTCGAATGCAATTCGAATATA